CTTTGTCAGTATGTCCTGCAGAATCTCGCTATCCAATTATTCGGTTAGCTTTACTGGAGTTAAGTATTACTTTGCAGTATGTCCTGCAGAATCTCGCTATCCAATTATTCGGTTAGCTTTACTGGAGTTAAGTATACTTTGCAGTATGTCCTGCAGAATCTCGCTATCCAATTATTCGGTTAGCTTTACTGGAGTTAAGTATTACTTTGCAGTATGTCCTGCAGAATCTCGCTATCCAATTATTCGGTTAGCTTTACTGGAGTTAAGTATTACTTTGCAGTATGTCCTGCAGAATCTCGCTATCCAATTATTCGGTTAGCTTTACTGGAGTTAAGTATTACTTTGCAGTATGTCCTGCAGAATCTCGCATTTTTAACGGACCCTCCTAAGTTACTCTTTCGGGAAATTGGTTTAACTGAAAATAATACTTTTACACATTGTGGACAACAGGGACAAAATAGTTGACTGTGCTGTTATTATAACTAAAGCTTCTTTGCACTGAACACTATCTACTTCATCTAAAAAGAAAAACAATAGCCATTTTCGTAATACATGTTTTCTCCATTTTTTGTTTTCCACTATCTACTTCACCAACAATGGCGGATAAATTTAAATTAAGAATGCCTACAGTTAAGACTGTTTTTGGTTTATATCATCGTCTTCTTCTATCTGGCCAATTAACGTTGCCGTATTAAGTAGCCTATCAGTCGCCATCTTGCCTTTTCCCCTTAGAAACCATCACTGTTTTTATAACAGTTCCATTATTACACTCACCACCGTTCATGTTAACGGAAAACAGGTTAGCTCACTGTAACGTGGCCCTGGTCATTTCTTATATCCCATTTACTGTCACCTAAAACGTGACATAAGTTTAATAAGAAACGTTTCATTTTATTCAAATTTATATCAGTGTGATGATATCAGGATTAAGAACACTTGAAAGCGCTATTGGAGCTAATACTAGAATTATCTGTCATTGTTTTTTGTTTTTTTCTATTGCATGATTCTTCATGTTTGTTTGCATCATTAAGTGTTGTATCGTAATGAATCCATTCATAGAAAAGTCGATGTACCTTTTGATGTTTCATTTCCGAGTTTACTTGCAGGGCGTGGTATTATTGCAAAAACTGCCACGAGGACGTCAAAGATGAAAAACTTATTAAAAAATGCAAGTGCAAGAATTGTAAGTACTAAAACAAAGTAAAAGTGGAAGAGTTCAATTGAAGATTTTTAAGATATTAAGGTCATTTTTGAAAATTTATCCATAATTTTAATATTAATTAAATAAGCAAAGTGTTTATCAAAAGTAATTTCACATTCTGTTTGTTTGTTTTGGGCATAAAGGTTTAGAATTAATTATATAATGAAGCTTTATAATAGAAATAAAAAAATGCATATATCAAGGCAATGACGGATGACTGAGTGGTGCAAATTTTTGTACAAAATATATTGAACCTAAGGCGGAGATAGTTGGAATCCTATACTTTAAGTTTTAATAATTCAGGTAGATAAAATGACCAGCAACATTTTATTTGGCATATGTTTTTAGTTGGATAGTAGTTACTGATTAGATTTAGATTCAGGGAAAAGTAAGCTGAAGTATTTATTAGAAAGGAAACTTTAAGTTTGTAAATTTTGATACAATTTACGTTAGTTAATTTTGAATTATGTTATAGTTTGTTAATGTAAAATAAATCATGTTTTTTTTTTAATTTTAGCAGTATCTAAAACCTTTAAACATGCCAATAATTAAAATTCACTAGTCTAATAATAGTGTAATGAATAGTAAGATTCACTGATAGAAATAAAGATACAGTAATTTGACCGTTTTCTACCATAATATCGATACACCTACAGACAAATAAAAATATACTTTTATTTTCCTTTCGCATTTATTTAGAAATCATAATTTTACTTGTCCATAAGTTCCCATTGATATAGGAAAGATAAAAAAAGAATCAAATACATTATAATTTCTGATTATAACCTTCTATGGATGTTTCTAATCCCAGCTTTTGCACGTTGCTTTTTACAACTAGCTTATCATGTTTTTAGGCTTAGCTGCTGCTGTTTCTGTGTCTGGAATGTTTGCTGCCTGATTGCCTGCTTTCAGATGTTTATATATACTCTTTTTATCTAGCGAACATTTCTGAATCATGTGAAACAGCGAATGCTTTTGTAGCTTTTTGTTTTCGTGACATGCCTGATTATTTTTGTAAAAGTGGAATTCCCCAGTAGCTTAGCAATAAATATCTAAGCACAGATAAACCATTGTGTAGTTTTGTGCTTAACAACAAGCAGATAAATTGTAAAAGTAGTAGTAGAAGTAGGGATGCTGATATTTGTATGTTAATTAACATTATAAAAATATAATGTCTCATTATGATATTTTGCACATTAGAAAAAAAAAATCAATTTTAGTATTGAAAGAAGTAAATATTTCACTGTTTTTTTAACATAGAATCAGAAAATTAGGTTATTTTTTACATAAATTGTTTCTAAATGGAGTACAATACGAATTTTACAAAATATGTTACTACAAGTTTTTCATTGACAATAATGATAGTTTGTTTTTCTGCATTGTTGTTAGTGAACTCATACCTAGCAACGTGTTTAATTGTCGTTTAAAATAAGTTTATGTTGACTGTTATATTCTACTATTTTATAAATTGAATAAAATAATAAACATGGATTTGGATTTATTTTGAATCCAAATTGTTGTACCTTTTTTTTTTTGTTTCAACTATAGTACCAGTAACTTAAAGAGCAAACACCTTGGTGTATGAATATATGTTTTGTTTTCACATTATCATTCTACATTCAACATTATGTACATCCACTTCTGAAATGAGAAAGAGAACAAACACCTTGGTGTATGTATATATGTTTTGTTTTCACATTATAATTCTACATTTAGTATCAGCTACATACACTTCTGAAATAAAAAAAAATATTGAGTAAGGAAAATATAATTTAGTTTTATCTTCTGTGCCAGTGCTCCTTTTTACATATAGAGGGAGTATTCCTTCTGGATAAATGCCTCCTGCTTGTTGTGGGAACTGTTACAATGCACCAGACACTCTTATTGGTAGCTGTCTTTCTTTCTTTGTACCATCTCTGGTGCTATAGTATGTTTTTTTGTCTTTAGGACTAGAATAATTGTGGTTTCAGTCTTCCAGATATAACATCATAATTTTCTTTAGCTAATCAGTGTTGCTAACGCATATATAGTTGAATCCCATACCTATTTCATCAGTAAGTTTGCCATGATGTCTGAGCTCCTTCATCTATTTTTTTCGTCACCATTAATTCGCGGTTGCCTTTTTTATTATTTTTTTGGTTTAAAGAGCTGTTATTTCACCACCTATTGCAATAGTCATTGTCTTGTATTACTATCTTGTGTTACAGGTGCTCAAACTGTTCAGCTTTCACTTGCTAACTTGAAAATTAGACTATTTAGCACTTCAGCTTCTTTAGCCAAACTTTCACAGAGAGTTTGCCACCCAAAGCATGTTGGCATGGAGGAGAAGTAACCAAATTCTAGATTACATTCAGATGTTAGAAACATTTTGAAACCACGTAGAAAGGTAAAACAATAACACCTCGGCCATCAGTATCTAACGTACGTTATTCCCTCACCTACACATGTTAACTAAACTATCTGCCTGCTTCCACAGATAGAACTTAATCTGAAAAAGGCTAAGGTGTCTGAGTGGACATTTAATGTTGTATTATTTGGGAGAGAGCTGCCATAGAATGAACTAAAAGCTTGGAATTACAGACAATCTCCAAAGGCATACGATAAAAAAAAATGCTGGTGAGGGTGCATTTCTAGAAGCAACTGGCATCAAATAGCACACAGGCACAGCCTAACACTCATGTTCTAATGAATTTAAATACCAAGAGTTATGGTCCTACCCTCTCATATTCACTAGACATACAAGAACATAGAACTAGGAATATAATATTCAACAAGTTTCACTATCCTTGGTGTGGAGTAGGAGAAAAAGATATTATTCTGCTGACATTTAGAGGTGCAACCAAAGAGAACCAGGAAAGATTTATCAGGCGATTTATACAAGTAACTGCATGGAATTAAGCAACATAGATTTCCTGTGGGTAATTGATGGTCTAGTCTTTGATGTTGCAAAACATCTCGAAGACTTTGGAAATATCATCAAAGAGCTTCAATTCAAATTTAATTCTCATAAGTGTGATTCTACTGAAAACCTGGCTGATTATGCAAATGGGCTAATCAAAGTATGGCTGCATCAGACCGAAATTTATCCTGGGGGATGAATTCACTGAATGTCTGCTATGTGAGCACCCATGAAATAACTTATATGCCAAAGAAATTCATATTCTAAACAGAGGTAGTGCCTGTAGTACTGAGAATCAAAGTAGAAACTTTGGATAAGGACCAGAGTTGGAAAAGGTGGCAGTGGTTGCTGCATAAAATTGTCTATTGCAAAACTCCCCGAGGGACTTACTCCTTGAAAAAGAAGATCCAAGGCAGATTTAACTGCTAACATACTACAGCTCACTCAAGACTGGTACAGTCACAGCTACAGGAGTACATAGCTATCACATCTCTTGAACTTCTTGTGCAAGAGAATCCTAGTATGACCACCATTTTGAGCCCATCAAAATATCAGATGCAACACTGTCTGCATTGTTGTCACGTGACTAACGTCATTTAATTGTATAAGATCAAGAAGGTCATAATTAAGCTATGAGAAATGTCAGACTAGGCAATTTAAACTAGTTGATCTTTGGTTAGATATAACCATTAACCAGGAAGAGGGAATTAGCTATTCTATATTAAATTCGTTGGAGGGGAATTCTATAAGTACTGGCATGAGTACAAATACCTGTACAAATAAACAGAAGCTACGTAGAGTTTTCTGCTGAGTACAGGAGCTGCCAAAATTGTTATACCATGCCGTGCTTCAGCCACTTAGGCCAGTAACCACTGGCGCCATTCTAGTTGATAAAGTTGAAGGAATATTGTCGTCATGGTTAGTAGCGCATATCACCTAATTCTAATCACTAACTGATGATATCTTGTCAAACTGAAATAGTTACAGCTAGTCTTGTCTCGAGTATAGCTATCCTACGGATGAATATAGTGCATATATTATATGCAATAATGACCTTGAACACAGGAGAGTTCCAGCTCTGTGGTCAAACATTAATTGCTAACAACTCAAATATTATGAAAAGTGGACTATTATAGTATAGCAAGAGGAATAAATTAGTAGTTCACCTAATCCACTAATTGGGTCTTGAATTAAATGAAGAAAAATGTTTTACCGGCAAACACCTGCGAATGGAGTGATGGAACTATATGTGAATTAGCAAGCTGCACTTGCTAGAAAGATATCACCCCAAATAAAACATGTAGTTATGAAGTATAACTATGAACAGAGAACTAAAAACTGTTTTATTCAATAATAGGCATGGTGTATGAGAAAGAAGCTACATCAAGTGTTATCCCAATTATTCCACATCTGAAAACGAAAAAATGGTTTTCAGATCATCTAAGGCTATGATTGGATGGTTGCACTAACAGTATCATGGAATAATATCAGAAAGATATCCATGAGTTGCTGGAAGAATTATACTGCCACCAAATAGAACATGGGCATCATCAGTAATCATTGTGAAAAAGAAAGAAGGGATGTTAATGTTACGTGTAAACTTCACGTAGATCAATATGGTAATGCACACTAACACATTTCCATTTCTCGATACAGACGAATATCTGGATACTTTGAAGGACCCCCATTGGTTCAACATATTAGATATCATATTTGGTTAATTCAGAATTATGCCATTCAGGTTCCATAATCTACCAGCCACTTTTAAGCAGCTTCCATCATGATCTGCAATGGGAATGGTGTCTGAACATACTTTTCATGTGATGAGCCACATGATAAGGAGTTACTACTTGAATATCCAAAGTGATATTATAGACCTCCTCGATATTATGACTGAATATAAACATGTTACAGCTAGAATATTACTGAAGTAAATAATTAACCCCTTTCTAGACTGGAGGATGTCAGTAATATCCCATGATTTTTTCTTCTCACAATGAAAATACTTTACTAAATTGAATAAAACTTAGGACGAGCTTACTAAATAGTATAGGTCCGGCATGGTCAGGTAGTTAGGGCGCTA